TAACTCATCGGTGAGGGCAAGAGGTAATGAGCTTGATGCTTTTGGTACCTAAATGCAAATATTTCGAAGTGAGTAAGCACACATGTAAAGAAATATTATAAGCAGGAAACCACTTAAGCAGCATCTGCTTCCACCCACCTCCTCTGTGGCTCTATTCCCCTCAGTAGCATCAGGAAGTAAAGCTAGCAAGAAAATTCAGCTGGGCTGAGTCTTAGACACTAGTTTTTGTTGTAAGTGATACCATGGTAGAGTCCTGTGCAAGCCCCCAAAGGCTTAATGCTCCTTGACCGAGAACTGATTCTATAGGTTTTTCTCGGGATATTTTGCTGGAACAATAGTGAGGATGAAACATCTGCAACAACTATTATGTCCTGATTTCCAATTTGATACCCACAGAGAGTAAAGAGGAGATTTGAGGTATCACATATGTTTTTACATATTTTTAAAAAAAAGGACCCCTGAACGTCGTCCTTCCAAATATCAGTACAGAGTCTATCAGCTTGAATCAAAATCTTCCTATCCCTGGATGGTGAGCTTCAGGAATTACCAAAATCATTCCCTTTCGTTCCCAATATTCAGATAATTGAAAGAAATTCAGATAACTGGATCAATTTGTACTTGCACTTCATACATTTATACACATTACACATTTCAATGCAGTTATTAAATAAGGCTCAAATTGTTAAAAGTCCAAAATGTGAAACCCTACCTCTAAATTTTGTCAAGTGGAGTAAGAGGTCAAATTTACCTCAACAAGGTCACATATTTAAAGGCTCCTAGGTAATGCCTAGTACATTACAACCTGCTCCATGATTAAATATTTTTAAGCCAATCAGTAAATTTTTCTCAAAGTTATTCTCTGTTCAATATTATTTTTCATTAGGTAGTATTCACTCTTTGGAGGAAGACGATCTATGGTTTCATACAAAGGTAAAATAAAAATACTGCTTTGTTTCCAGTACCTCCCTTGATGTGGCCCAATATCTTTGGGAATGTTTTTTGTTGGTGGTGGCTTTTGGGGTTGGTTTTTTTGCATTTGTTTTTTGTTTTTTTGCCCCGGCCACCACACTGAACTGAAATCCTCAGGGAACCGTGTTTCTCAAGTCTGTTTCTCGGGTAGTAACCCTTAATGCAAAGAGTACGGAGCATGGTTTCTCAAACCTTGGCACCACTGGCATTTTGGGCTGGTCAGTCCTTTGTGGTGAGGCCTGTCTTGTGCCCTGGAGAATGATTAGCAGCATCCCTGGCCTCTACCCACTCCCAATAGCATTCTTTCTTCCCCATTTGTGACAACCAAAATATCTCCAGGAGGTGAAATTGCCCCTCGTTGAGAACCAGGACCCTAATACATTATTACCTCACTATTGCCTATATCAAAGTTTGGCCATTTCTATCTACCTACACTTGAGCTATGAACCAGTCCACTCAGTAAATATTTATAAACATGGGTAAAGTTAAATATTTAATATTGAGGGTATGACACATGTCAGGAAATTGAAACTACAGATTGTAAATTTAAATTATCAAGTTTTGTTAGGCTCAAGGACAATGTTTAACTTGAAATTCACTGACTTTGCTTAATCTGTATACGATCTTACTTCATTTATATGGTTATTAAGTATTCAGAGCCACTCAGGTCACATAGATCAAGCAGGTACCAAATCCAATCTGAGGCACAATCTTGCACTCTATGGGGCTACCAAAGAGCATAAGATGTGGTGTCTCCCCTCAAGGAACTTTTTCCATCAAGTTGTGGGAATACATGGTAACATATTATTGGACTCTGGGCTGACATTTTGAAGTAAAATATTCAAGTGTCCTTTTTGGTGGGGAGTAACAAAAGCACACATGAATTGATTTAAATTAAGAAATATATATATATATATATATATACACATATATATGAAAAAGCATAATCAAACCACAAGTAACTCCATGTTACAACTCAAGTGATCTCTATCAAATATAATTACAACAGATAGTTTATTTAATAGCAGCAGACCTAAATAAGGGTCAGAAAGTTTACTAAGATCTCAAAAGCGGTGTTTTTAAGGAAATGTCTCAATAGTTCAGGTCTCAAAATCTAGCATTCACTCTTCCACATTCTTACATAACTCTGGCTCAGAAGGATGTCAGGGGAAGTCACTTCTCAGATAGGCGTAATTTACTTATTAAAATTACACAACTCACTCTTAGGTAGTTGGGAAATTAAAGTAACTGGAAAGAATTTAGGACATAAAAAAATTAACAGTGTAACATATAGTAATGTGAACAACTTAAAGATTCAACAAGAGCAGTGCCCAGGAGTTTAGCCAGGCATCAATAAAACATACAGTGTACCCATTACTTGCCTAGCACTATACTAACCTCAGCGAGCAATTCAAAGGAAATTCATTCATTCATTCACTCTTTCATTCAACAAATACCTATCGAGGGCTTATTATGTGCCACACACTCTTCTAGGCTCTGAGGATACACCAGTGAACAAACCAGACAAAATCTTGCCCACAGAAAGCTGGCATTCTACCTGCATAATTCTTAGATAAGAGAAGCTGGATCTCTGGCCTCAGGGAGTTAATCATCTTGTTGGGCAGACCAAACAAATGAAATCCATGAAATAAGAAAGAACTACAATGTTGAGCACTACTTCCACCAACATGCAAGAGAAGGAGTATTGAAGGAGGGTTCGGAGCAATCGAGGAAGGTTCAGTGGGACTGGGACTTGAGATTTAGACCCTTGCTACTCAAAGTGTCATCTGAGAATCACCAGTATTTCAAAGTGTCATCTGAGAATCACCAGTATTGGCACCACCTGGGAAACTGTTAGCAATGCAGAATCTTGGGCCCATTCCAGACTTGCTAAATCAAACTCTGCACTTTAAAAAGAATCCTAGGGAACTTCTCTTTTTTTTTCCTTTAAGATTTTATTTTTTTATTTGAGACAGAGAGAGAGAGAGCATAAGCTGGGGGCGTGCAGACGGAGAGGGAGAAGCAGACTCCCCACTGGGTAGGGAGTGGGGTGCAAGGGCTCGATCCCAGGACCCTGAGATCATGACCTGAGCGGAAGGCAGATGCTTCACCAACTGAGCCACCCAGGTGCCCCAAGAATTCTAGGGAACTTCTAAGGACATTAAAGTTTAGGTGACCCTGCTGGTTTCTGGCCAGGCTGACATTGTTAAGTATGAGCTATTTTCCCTGGTGGGAAATAAAGACTGGATAAATAAATAAAGACTGGATAGGGGCCTACCATCAGGTTAGAGGTTGTGAGGACCTGGAGGTGGGGAACTAGAAGTAAGGAGAATGCAATTATATCCTTTATCATCTGAATGGATAATGAAATGTGATGGCTATACATGCAATGGAATATTATTCAACCATGAAAAATAAGGAAATCCTGCCATTTGTGACAATATGGATGGACCCTGAGGGCACTGTGCTGAGGGAAAGAAGTCAGAGAGAGAGAGACTAAATACCGTATGATCTAAAAAGTACCAAACTTATAGAAACAGAGAGTAGACTGGTAGTTGGCAGGGGCAGGTGAGAGGGGACACAGGCGAAGGTGGTCTAAGGGTACAAACTTCCAGTTAAAAGATGAGTAAGCTCTGGGGATGTAATGTACTGCATGGTGGCTATAGTTCACAATACTATATTGTATCCTTGACAGTTGCTGAGAGAGTAGATCTTAAAAGTTAGAGGGACTTGGGTTTGGATTCCCAGCTCTACCACTTCTTAATTGTGTGATATTTGGGCCAAATTATTTAACCCCACCAAGCCTTTTCCATCCCCTGTAAAATGGCTCGGGGGGGGGGGGGCACGCAGGGAGGCAATATGACCTCAGAGGGCCCTTGTAAAGATTCAATCAGCTAACATATATCTAACACTTGGCAGTCCGGGCACAAAGAAAATGATACCCATTAATAATAATTATATTGATAACAATAAAATGCTATCTTTTGAGAAAGATTCAAAACCAGCAAAGGAAACAAAAGAAACTTTTAGTGTCTACTAGAGCCCCAACACTGTGTTGGGTATAGACCTGTAACAACCTGCAATGTAAGGAACTTCATCCTCATCTTAAATTGGCACTTGGATATGACATTTTAAAATGTAATTAACCCTGTTGGTCCTTAAAGGTGCCTTCATGATGGGATTTCTGTAATTGTTACTATTATCATTGTTACTGTTGTTATCATTAGGGTATTCTCAAAAGAACTTGTCTCTCTGCTGGAGTGGAACTTTAGAGGGAGCGGAGGCAGGGAATGCTGAAACCACGGCTGCCTATATGCTGAGTTCAATAATTAGCGTACTGCTAATGATCCAGTCTCATTTTCCATGCCTCTACCGTCCTCATTAATTTTTCTGATGTACTGTTTTCCAATTTCTCTCTCTCTCTGTCTCTTCCACGTGCAACCTTGGCAAGAGAAGCCCCAGTCTGGCCGCCCTCCACCAACTGACAGCCCAAAAGGCAGGGGTAGGTAGCCTCAGGTTCAAGTCACCTGAAGTAGGTCTGGGGGCGGGGAATCCGGAAAGCAGGCGAGCGACTACGGATCCGCCCAGAGGCGCCGCCCCACCCAGCGGGGACACGACCGCGGGAATGAGTCGGGGGTCTACCGACTCGGCGGCTCTCCGTGCCCCCACCCTCGACGAGATCGGGGAACCAAGAGGGACTTCCAACACTCCCCAAGTTTCAACTCAAGTCGTCTCTGAAGCTGCGTGTGCCCCAGCTTCGAACGCCTGCCTGCAACGTGGCCGCGTCTGGGACGCCCTCCTACCCCCAGGGTCACCCAAACTCCACCATTCCCTCCCCAGGCCGGGCCGTGTGCCCGGTCCCCCAGTCCCCGGCTTCTCCTCTCCGCGTGCGGGGGGCGGGGGGAGCCCGCCCCTTCGCCGGCTCGGGCGAGCCCAGCCACAGCCCTGCACGGCGAGGAGCCTCGGCGCTCCTGACACCGCCCGGCGGCAGGGCGGGGGCAGGGCCAACGGCGGAACCGCCCCCAACCGCCTCCCGGGCCCGGCAAGCAGGCGGGCGGGCGGGCGGGCGGGTTGCTGGGGCGCCTCCACCTCCTCTTCCTAAAGCGGCGAGGCGCAGACGAGCGGCATCACTCGAGCCCAGGTCCCGGCCACCGCCACACGCTGAGCCCCGCGTTCGGGAGGAGGAGCGGCGGCGGAGGCGGCGGCAACAGCGGCGGGCGGGCGCCAGAAAGGTAGACTGAGTCCCAGGCAGCCGCGCCGCCGACCGCCCACCCCCCGCCCCAGCCCGGGGCGACGCGCCATCAGCCCCGTCACCTCACTTCTGTGTGTCCCTCCAGGCCCCGGTCGAAAAGCCTGGGAGGGCCGCCGAGCTACCCCCAGAGGAGGAGCCAGTCCAAGCCCAAGGCGCCACCGCCGCAGGAGCAGTGCGGAGCAGCCGTCGCCTTCATGGCCCACTCACCGGTGGCGGTCCAAGTTCCCGGGATGCAGGTGAGGAAGCCCAGGCCGCCTCCGCCGACCACGTGACCGCCCCGGAGGCCGGTGCGCGGTCCCCGGCGATCAGAGGCGGCCCCGGGACTGCCCTGAAGGCAGGGCCGGGCGCAGGGGCCAGGTGACCCGGGAGTCGGGCTCGAAGCGTTTCCCGGCGTTTAGGCTAGCTGGTGCACTGCGCGGGGAGGGCGGGGAGGGACCGGGCGCGCGGCGAGGTGCGGGGGAGGGGGGCGGGGGAGCGTAAAAATAGGCCAGATCCAGACACCTGCGCCTGCGGAGCGTGGTCCGGCTGGGGACTGGAGGTGGGAGGTCTTAACTTGGGAGAGATGGAGGTGTCTCGGAATTTGTGGGGTAAAACGCAAGTCGTGCCCTCCCCCCCCCCCGCACACACACAAGTTGGGGCGGAGCAAGACAAGGGGGTGTCGGTGGTGGCGGCATTGAATTGGGCTCTTCCTGTGTGCGTAGAGCGAAGAGCGAGGTGGCTTCTTTTCCCCTTTTGGTGTTGCTTCTTAAGGGCGAAGTTCTGTCTCGCTCCCCCCCACCTGGCGTGAGTGTGGCGTGAGAAATGCAGGGTCCTGTGTCAGAGTGGCCGAGGTGATGACTTCCCAGCCCCCTCCCCCTGCCTTTCCCACGAGACGACTGTTGCATGTGGTTAAAGGAAGCTTTTTGTCCTGGACAAGGGACTACTGCTTGGGACCCATCTTCTTACTCCAGATTTACCCAGGCCCCTCCCCCCCGTTATATTTTCATTTTATTCAAGAAGAAATAAGCGATGTGTGCCTACGCTTTTTACGCGGTTACGCTTTTAAATTGATGCATTTCAGGCTATCTACTAAATGTTATCCAGGTCTACTAACTTTCAAGCATTCGCTTTTTTTTCCTTTGCTAGTGAGTCTAAACAACCCATTTATGAACAAATCAGAGACTAGAAACATTAAAGCCTCAGTCCCTCATTATCTTCTAAAACTGTGAAAGCAGACTTTTTCAAGTTAAGAAAAAACGTTTAGAGTAGTAAATAGACAGCTTGTGTTTCTAGTAAAAATCAAAGCGCTGTGGATTGGGGCCTCAATTTACTAATTGATGCATGGAATTCATCCTTTTTGTTAGCAATGGGTCATATTTTATGCATGGTCACACAAAAGTAACTTTAAAAATACTTTCCCATAAAAGGACCATTGGTGTTGAACATATATCAATCCTAGGACTCCCCTGTGTACTAAGCACCAGGCCTTTTAGCTGCCTATAGGGCACATCTGTGTTGAGTCCCAGGAAGTCGGTGTGTATTTAATTAAAAAAAAAAAAAGAGAGAGGAAGAAAAAGGGAAATGAGGAATGTTAGGGCTTTTTAAAAGGTTAATCCACTCAGGCTTTACAGAATGCCTCAAACTTTTTTCTCATACCCCCCCCCTTCATTCCCCCATCTACCCTGCCCCACACCCCATTCATTCAGTCTGCCTTTTATTGTAGCAAGAGATTAGTAGTTTGCAATACTAACTCCAGTTTTGCTCCGTCTGACGTGCAAAGAAGTGCGAAAAACGATTCACCGTGCTTTCCTTTCCATTATGTGGGGAGTAGAACGGTACAGATGGAAAGTTTGTCTCTGAGGGTCTCCATGCTTCTGTCTCCATTGTGTGCGCGTGCGTCAGCAGAGAGAGAGAGAGAGAGAGAGAGAGAGAGCCTCGAGTTCATCAAGTTTGTGATTCTGGGGAACTCTGTGCTGAGGAGAAAATGGTTTCTGGTCCTTATTTGGTTTGTCTTTATTTGATTTATATGGTTTCTGGTCCTTATTTGATTTGTCTTTATTTGATTTATATGGTTTAGGACCTGCTTGCTGTTCAGTATTTCTTACTGCTCCCTGCTTTAATTATCGGAGTTCCCTATCTCTTGAATTTTAAAATCTTAAGGTGGTTTAGAATGTGAAGCACATCTTTTAATTTACAAGTTCTGCTTTTCACTGTATGCCTTCCCAAAGTTGTGGTTACTTTGTCCCACATAATTTGGGGAGGGCAATAAACTCCATATTAGCAAAGAAGAGAGGGATATTTATCACTTTCTCCATCTTAATGGTAAATTCTTAGCTGCTTATTTCCACTTTATTTGTAGATATGGTTCTTAAGCATTTGATGCAACACAAAAGTTTTCCACTGTTAAAATTGTACAGTACCCTAAAAATAAATTTGATGGCATGCAGTGTGACTCTTGAGCCTAGACTACTTTTACTATTATTTTGTTCAAAAATATTGCAGATGAGATGCAGAAATATATCATGAACTTGCAAAATTCTCCTAGACTTTTATTCAAGAGTTAGGAGCAACTTTTAAACCCTTAGAGTAGTAAGAAAACTTGAGTTAGCCATGTGTTCTTGAAATTAATGTATAGTATTTCCACAAATCAGGGTGAAGTGGTCGACCAGCCTATAACTTTTTAACAGTTTATTTTAGAGAATTATGAAGATTGATGGAAAAAATGATTTTTCCAGAAATAAAAACAAAATTACTTTATCCACAGTGTTTTTTCCCCCTGAGGAGAGACGTGAAGTAGAAGCCGAGCTACCTGTTCTATCACTTAAGACTTCAAGCATTCCTGACTTTCGAACAAAGAAATTTCTGTTGCCACTAGTTTAAAATAGAAAAGAAACTTGGAGTGACGAAAGAAAACCCAGGATTTGGTCCAGTTCAAACTCTTCCTTATGAATTAGTTATTCAAACTCATATTGTTGATGTTTCTTAATATTGTGGGAATGACCATTTTTGCCCAATTACACCAAATGTTGAGGGTATGAATTTGTTTTGTACTTAATTTGTGCTTACTTTGTTAGTGTATACCTAAAGGAATTTTCCATACCAGGAGCTAAACTCTTGAAAAATATTTAAAGCACAACTTTAAAAAAAATAATAAACCAATAAACCTGTTTCTTTCCACTCAAATATTTACTCTTCAATGATTTAAAACATATTTTTTCTTTGAAGTTTTCAGTTATAAGTTATACTTAAGTTTAAGATATTTTCCCTTAGAACCTGCATTAGTATTTATTAAGACAAGTATTCTAAATTGGTTGTTAATTCTTTCATAAAATGTAGGTGGGAGAATAAAGTTAAATGTTCAATTGGAGTACTAAGTGGTATTACATCACGCTTAGGTCTCTTGTGAAAGTTTTTAAGTTTCTATTAAAGAATTTAAAAAGTAGTCTTCATGTATCCTTAAGTATGATAAAGGTGGTGCAGTTGGTTTTGTTTTTTTGTTTTTTGGGGTTGTTTGTTTGTTTTAAGTCATCTCCACACCCAGCGTGGAGTCCAACGCAGGGCTTGAACTCACGACCCTAAGATCAAGACCTGAGCTGAGATCGAGTCAGATGCTTAATCGACTGAACCACCCAGGCACCCCTAGGTGGTATAGTTTTTAAGTGGTTGTTATTTGAGATATGAAATGGAAATGAAGTTTAAGAATTAATGAATACTTTATTAAAGACTTTAAGAGGTGGAAAACAGTGCCTTGCATCGGTGAACCTCGTTATTGGATTCTGGGAAGGATACAGAATTATACTACATGATCTCTAGCCCTTGAAGGTCTTAAAATGTTGGGGAGTTAAATCTAGTACATGAAATATAAATGCAAACATCTGTAGGGCTTATTCTAGAATAGAGCTTTCTGACTGGAGGAGTTGAAGGCTTACAGAAGGTAAACTAACTGCTAAGGATTATTGGGGTTCATATGGGGAAGGGCATCTCCAGGCAGGGATGTACCCCGAGCAAAGGCTTGTAGACAGGGACAGGCACACACCCCACAAGTGTGCATGCACACACAATTTTTGTGAGATAAAATCATTTGGATTATGATGAATTCCTCTAAAGTAATAAGAGGTAAGATTGGAAAACGTGATTGGGTCTAGATGGTGGTTCTTGAATGCTGAGGAAGGACTTTGTTTGGCCTTTGGACTAGCCATGAAACATTTCTGAGTAAAGGAGGCTCAATGAACAGTTATATATAGCAAGAGAAATCTCAAGATTGGATGAACTGACGACCTGGAGGATTGAGAAGCCTTGAGGCAGTTGAATCTACTGAGGCTATTTCAATGGGATAATCATATCTGTACAGAGGCAGTCGACCTTGCGTTGACTGATTGCTTTCCATATGCCCAGTACTGTGAAAGGAAAAAAATATGATTACTAGACTTAATAATTAGCTAATTACAGAAGGAGAAATCAAAGGTTTTGTGGCGTTGAATATGAGAAACTGGGAGTTATGGTTCATATGAAAAAAATTGGAAAATCATGGGGAAGAGCCAGATCTGGTGGGAAGTTAATGATTTCTGTTCTAGAATTGTGAAATTTGAGGTAACAATGAGCTGATGAAGTGAAAATGTGGAACAGTAGTCTATTACCTTGATTGTGGTGATGGTTTCACAGGCATATATGTATGTCCAAACTCATCAAATTGTATGCATTAAGTATGTACAATTTTTTTTGTGTGTAACAATATGCCTCAGTAAGGCTGTTTTAAAAAATGTCCACGGGTGCCTGGGTGGCTTAGTCGGTTAAGCAGCTGACTCTTGATTTCAGCTCAGGTCATAATATCAGGGTCCTGGGAATGAACCTTGCATCTGGCTCCATGCCCAGCAGAGAGTCTGCTTGAGATGTTCTCTCTCCCTCTCCCCCTCCCCCCTCAAAATAAATAAATAAATCTCTTTTTTTTTAATGTCCAAAAAATATTTGAAGACATAGATCTGGAGCTTTAGTCATTCATCAGGCATATACTGAGCATTTACTATATGCCAGTCTCTTTACTTGAAACTGAAGAGGAGCCACCGAGAAGGGAGAAGCTGCTAATGCCAGAGAGAGTATGTGGAGGTGTGGGCCCTCACGAGACAGGAAGCCTAAGTGGAGGACTGGCTTGTAAGAAAAGGAAGGGCGACTTCAAGATGCATGGGAGGATGAGAAAATGGGTCAGCACCAAGAAGGGGTTAACTGGGGGCAATCCTTTAACTAACTCTGATCATGAAAA